ATTTTGCTTTTTTCTCCCCCAAAACTGGATCAAAATCAATTCAAAAGGTGATATTCGTAATCACCGTGAAATTTTGCATCGAATGATATAGTTTTAAGTGAAAAATAAGAACTTGCATTTCTTTTGAATTAGCGGCGCCTTACTAGGAATTCTTTTTCATGATATATAGTTTTTCTCTTTGAAGACCGATTTTTACAAAGTTGAGCCCAACAGATAAAATTTGGAAAATGAAATTTGCCATCTATTGTTCTCTATGCTCAACTTTAGGAAGCACTTCCTTCATAATAGAAAATCGAAAATTAGCAAAAAGTTGTGTTTCTGGTTTTTCGTTAGAAAGAAAGTGTTTTCTAAAGTTGAATCTCAAGACAAATAGGTGACAAATTTGATTCATCTGCTGAACTCAGATTTGTGGAAGTCAAACGTCACGCAACTGTACCTTCTGGACTATTTATTATTATAATTATTTTATATTTTATGTTATTATATCTATCAATTAATTTTTTTTAAATCTTCAAAAAATATAATTTTAAATATGTTTTTTATTACTAATTTTAAATAACACTTGTATTGCTTTTTTCTCAACATAGTGCTTCTATGAGACAACTCCTTACTGTCGGCACTGCATCAAATACCGGTATATTAAAATCTTTTAATTAATAAACTCTGATATGAAGTGAGAATATTTTGAATTACATCAATGCCTTACCTAAAAAAGTTGGTTATGGCAGTGCTTTAAATTTCAAGCTTTTTTTCAGTATATAAAATAGTTAATATATTATTTAACCTTTAAAATTGACTTTTTCATGGCATAATATTGTTATCATATCTAAAACTAAAACTAAAATAGAATGTTGAGACTAACCTAACACTACTATTAACAGGAAAAACGAAAATTTTGGGCTTATTTTTATATAGTGTTCACTTAATTTTGGAAAATGAAACTGAAATTGAACTGTCGATCGTTTAATTCAAAGTGAAATGCCAAGGAAATCAAAACGTATATGCACAAAATTTTTCATTTTTCATGCGTAATATTTTCATTTTGGTTTTTACCATATAACGGTTGGGATTCAAATGGTACGTGTAATTACAGTAGTAATGCAGCCTATTCTTTTTTCTTACATCAAATTCTTAATCCCTTTCGTTTTGTTGTTATTGGCGCTTTACCATGTCTTGCTATGAGTATAGCCAATTTTCGTACGTTAAAAAGTATTCATCAGTCACGGCAACGTGTTGCCATTGGCAATAGAATCAGAACAGCTACAGTGAATTCAACATTACAAGTCACAAAAATAATATCACTAATAAAAATCCATTTCAACGTCAAAAAATGAAATTGAAAAATATATCAACAGTTGATCGCATGCTAATATTGATGATAGTGATAAATGTTAACAACGTTTATTATAACACAACTGCCATATTACATTTTCACAGTGATTAGAGGCTACCAATTAACGTATGATGCATATACATACAAATTCACTCGTGCAATGGTAATCATATGGTCAAATCGTTATTTTGGTGTAAGGTTCTATTTGTACTGCTTAGGATGATAGGTCCCAAGTGTGTAATCGCTTTTTTTTCAAAGTTCAGTGGAAAATAGGTAATCGACTATGCTGAATCCGAATATAACATCCGTTTGGGCCCTTAAGTCTTCAGAGACCGGATTTCTAGAAAACCTGTTTTTCAGAAACTCTAAAAAAATAACAAAAGCCTTTCTTAATAAAACATGATTGTAGACCGCAAATTTCTGATTAAAATGAGACATCTCCCAGCTCTGGATGATCTTTCTTTGCAAAGTTATAGAATTTACAAGAAAAGTCCTAAATGTTCATTGTCAGCTCAAAGCAACAGAAATAAGAAGAAATTAATTTAAGGCTCTTCTTATAAATTCTATAACTTTGCAAAGAAAGGTCATGTAGAGCTGGGAGATGTCTCATTTTAATTAGAAATTTGCGGGCTACAATGCTGTCTCATTAAGAAAGGTTTTTGTTATTTTTTAGAGTTTCTGAAATACAGGTTTTCTAGAAATCCGATCTCTAAAGACCTAAGGGCCCAAACGGGTGCCATATTCGAATTCAGCATATTCGAGTACCTATTGGCCAGTAATTTTGAAAAAAAGCGATTACACACTTGGGGACCTTTCCTCGTTAGTCTTTCTCCCTAGACTAAGTGTCTCAGATTCGTGCAACTCTTCGAATTGTATCTTATTTTACCTTAAATCATCTAAAAAAATGTCGAGATTAACCTGCGCTCCGGTAAGCCTAACTAGTTCATCTGATGATGTTAAAGCACATGCTAAATCACATGGTATTCGTCAATATCGAAAAACACGATAGTAGAAATAAAACAAAATATTCGAATAACCGATGTTTCAGCGATTGACATCTGACATCTTCACGATCCCTTAACAACTATACACATACATTCTGTGACAATTTTGAACTTCTTTCAATTCATTCGTGGGCATCATCTATAATTCCAATTGTTCAAAATGACTTTGTATATCAACGCTATACTCACTCTCCTCCCGCTGCAGAAGAGAAGCGCAAAATCTATTTGATTATGTTGACGCCAGAAGTGTCTTGTTGGAAAGCCTCAAACACTAGTGGCTCAACCGTTGACTAAAAGAAATATTCATTTAAAATATGGTCAAAATCCTAAGTATCCATTATTTGATTGTGAGCTCAAAGTAAATATACTGCATGCTGGCCTAAACCCAGTTACAACAATGTCTCATTTACCATTTCCAGTCTGGTGATCAACAGTAACGTTTTTGGAAATAGTTATTACCACTCCATGGATATGTCAAGAAAGAAGCCGGGAAGCAACAATAGCTCCTTATTGACACGCCCAAGGAGTGACAATAGATCCGCTCGTCTTTTTTTAGTGATAAAAAAGTTCCCCCTGTTAGTAAGTCAGTCTTATTTAATTTTTTCGATAATGACTATAGCACGTGATCATAGTCAGACACCCACTATTGCGGACGTTCTTTTCGATAAATCATATTATTTGCAGTAATTGTTTTCGCATCGCTTCTTCTCTAATAATTCGTTCAAACATTTCGTTTTCTGCAATAGTGAAACGGGATTTCCACGATCGAATTGAATGTAATTGGAACAATCGTTATAATTCGTGCAGAGTCGTAAACGATCGAGCACATGTTATTTCAATTTTTATATCAAAACTCTTCCTTTGTTAAAATAACAATCTTAACGTCTTCATCTAAAGCATTAATCTAGAACTCGAAAATTAACAACTAATAGTATTAAATTAATAAAAAAGAGTTTTTGATAGAAGAGAAAACCGATAGAAACAGTGAGAATGAATGAGTACAATCACACATCATTTCAACTTGAAAAGTAACTTTACACTTCGTTCCAAAAGCCTTGTAAAAGACTGTTACGAAAGTCCTGTTAGAGGACATTAACCTTCAGCTATTTTACCGTAAAAAGTACACACAGACTTCGTTGCGAGTCTACTGCCAGTCGATCGCAAACAGCTTTTTCCTCTTAGAAAAACTGCATTAAATTTTCTTTTTCTTTCCAGATTTGACTCAAAAACTCAATAATTGTGTTGTCTTGACTATGATAAACAATTTCATCTGGGTAGAGTAATAAACAGTAAGTAATAATAAAATTAAGAAAATAATAATACTTATCAACTACAGTAAAAAAAATTACATTTTCTTTTTCTATGCATCACAATAGCAAATAAATGAAGTTGACTGGTAACACATTATTTCTTTTTTGATTTCCTTTACAATGTTCCCGATGTGTGTATGATCGCGAGTCTAAAAATTTCATCCTGAATCTCACCCTCAACAACACTAAAGCTATCACTGTCAACGCCAACAAGAGCAGCATCAAATGGTGATTTATCATTTTTTACTGGCCGTACAGTTGAAAACCACGCCTATGCTCGACATTATGCAAAACGGAGTGTTCAAGATTGTGATGTCATGGCTGTTGATGGTTTTATTACATCTCCAAAGACCCTGATCCAAACAAATGTTCCGTGGCTTTAAACTAGGCCTATTCGAATACGCTGAAAAACTAGGTAGTCTACGTGTTTAACATCTCCATTAAACTCAAACGCACAATTATGTCTTAATAGTTTAAAAATGCAAGAACATCACTGCAGAAATGACAAAATGGGAATGACTTAGTGTTGTCTTGCCGGCAACTGTTCATTCCCATTTTGTAAGCAATTTTATCTTTTATTAATTTATCATTTTCCAAATTGCAAACTAAAACTTTTTTCAGACGTGTCCAGTTCCCATTTTGCAAGCAAAAAAGTTATAAAAATTTCCCCTTTTTGCAGGCAAACTATTTAATAAAAAAGAAAGAGTCTATGCTATAATTCAAACGCTGTCTAATTAATTAAGCATAATTATTAGAGTACTTAAAGGGACTGTTTTTAATCGCAAAATAAAAACTGTTTTTAGGACCGAACGCTTCATAGTCTAATCTGGTTTAAAGCATCATAACCACAGGTTGATTCTGAAATAATATAAAGGAGAGATGAAGGACGATAGGAGACACTTTAAATTGGTATAAGCTTTATTCTGTCAGAATACAAGCGGAAAATATTCCATTATAGTATTCTAAACTAAAACTATCGAAAAACACAAAATCAATTTTGTACGAATAGAGATTCGAACATGTGAACTTACCTTTGTAGTAAACTACTACAAAACTAAATTCACTGTTCACTTTAAATTAATGATGCAGTTCTCAATACAAAATCATATTAGTGGTAAAAAGTATCTTGTTACTGACAGAATTATAGAGTCCATTTCTGTAGTACACAATTTTGTCTTATGTTTGACACAGACAGTCTTAACCATTGGAGCAACTGACATAAAATAATATGCAGAACGCGTAAGAAAAACTGTCTACCGCTTTATATATAATGTTGCTGGACAAGACGTGAAGTAGTACATATTGTTATATTATGTCTTTATCGTTAATTACTTTGCTTGCAAAATGGGAACATTTTTTATAAAATGTTTACTTGCAAAACGGGAAGCAACAACTGTGACAACTAAGAATAAAACTGATGTAGCAGCAACCAACTGCAGTTGCTGTAACTGAGAAGGTATATTCCCGATTCGTCGACAAATCGGGCACTTCAAAGAATATACATCAAAGAATTTCAAAGGTGGAAGGGGCGGTGTGAGAGTGAGTGTCGACGAATCGGGACTGAACCACTGAGAAGTATGAGCAATTATCGTTGGGAAATGACTTCAAACATAATTTGACGGATCTTTTACGTCGTCAGCAGCCGCCATTCGTAACAACTAGTGTATTAAAAGAGTAGCTTTATAAATTTCATCACGCTTCTTTACATGGATGCTGTAGGTCATTACACATTATCGTTGCTATCAAATGAACATGTACAAGAAACGGTAAAAGACAGGAATATAAATGAATAACGTTTTCGTGATATGTTAAATAGAATTGGTCCAGTATACGGTTATCGTTTACCTCAGAAAATGAAATAAAAGTTACAATTGGTATTCAGTTATTACGAGAAACATAAATATTTATCGAATGTGTCGCGCATCCAAGAAACAATTAACTATTTGAATTATTGTAGATTAAAGACACAGACTTACTTTCGACTATACAAACATACACAAATCTTGAACAGTGTTGCCCGACCAATCTATTGTTGATATTTGAAAATGACTTCGCCTCCTAACATTATACCATCGTATTTTGTTAAGACGACGGCACTGTGGATGTGCGAAACGGTGTCTGATTTAATTAATAATATTGTTGATGATAATGATGAATCAATAGCACGACGACTTAGTTTGGATCAATTTTTTTTACAGGGCTTTCGTACTAAAAAAATAACAGGCCTTTCGTATCTGTTTTCACGGGGCCTTCGTAACACTATTAATCGGGTCATATCCTCTCTATGAAATAGTCAGTCACTAGGAGCACTAACAGGGCTTTCGTAACGATAATGCATGGGATTAATCTCTAGTAGATGCTCTTACACGGCTTTCGTAACGAAGTCTATATGTACTTTTTATCCCAGATATAAATGATAATGCTGTATTATTACAGGGCTTTCGTAACGCATGCCACTTCTTATTGTAAATGGAAGAGAAAACCGATAGAAACAGTGAGAATGAATGAGTACAATCACACATCATTTCAACTTGAAAAGTAACTTTACACTTCGTTCCAAAAGCCTTGTAAAAGACTGTTGCGAAAGTCCTGTTAGAGGACATTAATCTTCAGCTATTTTACCGTAAAAAGTACACACAGACTTCGTTGCGAAAACCCCGTTAAAGAGTGTTACTGAAGCCCTATCATAGGATCTACTTAGACATTAATCCCTTTGCATTGTCTTTACAAAAGCCCCGTAAAAAGTGTTACGAAAGCCCTGTGTTTTTTAATTTATGTCTTTTTAACGTGTTACGAAAGCCTTACTTTTTACCGGGCTTTCGTAATGCTAGGGGTCTGGATGAAACCTGACCGAAAATATTACTTGAAAACATTGTTTAAACGTTTTTCCTGAGATTGCTTTTGGCAGACTTACTAATGAAAAATAGATTGCTCGAGAAATTAAATGCATCATTTCACTACCGGCATAGGAAAAACGAAAGTTTCCCTAAGTTGCATTATCCGTGTTTCGATTTCACTATTAACAAAAGTAAGTATCAACCTTTCCTTTCTTCCTCAGTGATAAAATATTTTTTATATGAAATAGTAACGGAATAAATAAATGAAATGAAATTTATTTTTATAAAATAAAGATAACTGAGTCTTATCTTTATCGTTAAAAAACAAAGGTAAAATAAAGAAATAAAGATTTTATTTTTGCTGTTTTCAAGTGAATTAAGAAGGAGGGAAGTCTCAGTATGTCATCGTCGATGCCCTCACTCTCACCTCGAATTCTGAGCTAATTATTCCTCTTCAATTGTCTGAATAAGTGGTTTTAAGTCATGATGAGTTATGCAGATAAACTAAAACTAACCTAGCTCGAAAAGAGAAGATTGAATAGAACAAGTGCAGCAACTTCCGAGAAAAAAAGTATGATGGCAGAAGGAGAATACCAACCATTTATTTCATCTTTATTTCTTTATTTTTTGGAATTATGTCTACAGTTCAGGTGTTTTCAATCAGAAACATCTTCTAAATAAAGCACTTCGTCTGAATGACAACAAATTCTATGGTCTCAGAACGTTCCGCAGATACTGTATACATACCATTAGTGAGTACTTATGAACTGACATGGTATAAAATCGAAACTCAGTTTAATTTCCATTGTGTCGGAACACAGCGTTGGGCAGACAGATTCACAGAGTCGTTTCATTCCATCGATGTTTTTCAATCTAAAAAACAGACAGAAAAATGAATGCCCCCACGCAGGATCGAACTACGGACCTCCAGTTTACAAGACTGGCGCTCTACCACTGAGCTATAGGGGCTGTTGTCCGTCTGTTGCGACTATATATAATCAAGCAAGCGAAGAGAAAGTGTTTGGATACCGGCTCGATCTGAAAATTTTTTGTCACACATAACCTGGTTCTGCGGTGTTTAGCGTCTCGGTCCAAAGTTGAGGATCTTGATGAGACTGGATAAAAGAAATCTCTATCGCGTAAAGCCAAATCAAATTCAGAAGTTTCGACAGCTTTCTAGCATCGGATCTTTATGACGGTATTTCTCACCAAAAAATGCCACGTGTCAGTTCATCAAACAATTTTTGTATTTTAACGAAACAAGACTATAATATGTTTTCGTAAAAATTAGGCCGTGTCATAACAAATAACAAAACGTTGGTGATTCCTGCAAGCGAGTCATGGAAAAGGCATCGACGCCCATATTAAGAGAAAATTTAATGATATAATCAACTTCCAGCTTAATAAAGCGTGTCCTGATGAAAAGATGTGATAACTAATTTCTGTAAATCAAATAGCAAATTATACCTTTAGAAATCACAAGACACTGACAGTATTTGACAACAAATTATTCCAAATAACTACAGGGCTGAATCGCGTAACTCTGCTACCGAAGTGTGATTGCGTTACCGTTTCTACTCTTTTCGTTTGTATTATAGTATTGAAAGCAAACATGCTACAAATATGAGAAATGTCTTACTTTGTAGCTGAAAGTGTGTTAGTCAAAATCCACTCTATGATCAGTTGGGTTCACTCAATCGTCCTTGCCTTATGATTAAAATACAGTAAGCTTAAAATAAAAATCTGTATTTTCTCGCGAATATTAGCGTTTCGATTATAGGACAAAGAAGATTGAGTGAATCGAACTGATGATAGAGTGGATTTCGACTAGTCAACTTTTAGCTACAAAGCGAGATGCCCCTCACATTTCTACATTGTTTCCATTAATACTAAAATACAAACAAATACAGCAGAAACGATAATCCAAACACGCCTTTTCCATGACTCGATGAAAGGAATGACCAACGTTTTGTTATTTGTTATGACACGGCCTAATTTTTACGAAAACATATTATAGTCTTGTTTCGTTAAAATACAAAAACTTGTTTGATGAAATGAGACGTAGAATTTTTTTGTGAGAAATAATGTCATAAAGAACCGATTCCTTAGATTCTAAACTTCATTCTAATGGTAAAATTCATATCGTCAAATAGTAGGAGTCTTCAGTCTTTAGCTATAAGAGATGGTCATTAAAAATAAAGTGCTTATGAGAACTGCCTCTGGTTGATAAGTATTATTATTTTCTTAATTTTATTATTATTACTTACTGTTTATTACTCTACCCAGATGAAATTGTTTATCATAGTCAAGACATCACAATTTAGGATTTTGGGATACCCATCCTCCTTAACTTTCCTAGGCAGCCATCACACAACAACTGGTCAAAAGCGGATTTAAAGTCTATAAAACTGTTGCAACTGGAGACCTATTAGCCATATATGACGAAACCTGCTCCAAAAACAGAAGCACTCTGGTCTGAAGGCGATATCCCTCTCTAAATCCCGATTGAGTATCCGGTAAGATCCCCCTAACTTTTAAAATTTCGCGGAAGCGTGTTACAAGCAGTTTTTCATTTATTTTCAAAAAAATGTCGAGTAGAGAAATAGGCCGGGTTAGAGCGGGAGCACAGACTGAATCTTTTTTTGCGAGGATAATCATTCTTACGTCTTTCCACAAAGATGGAAACACTGCAAAGGATAATGAGAGATTAAAAATTTGGAGTACAAGAAGCCAGTGAGTAAGAGGCACAAAATTTAACATGAAACTAGACAAGCCGTGTGCATCACAGGAGAGCTTTTTCTTGCAAGAGTTAATAATTTCCAAAATCTCATAAACATCGGTGAGCGGGATTTTTTCTTCGTAGTTTTCCCAATCTTTCCATGGTGCGTCCATGGGGACGTACTACCATTGGTTCCTGAAATAAATTTTCAAAAATAAATCACCTGACTTTTTCTGTTTGAATGAGAGAGCTCTAATATAAGATAGCCGAGAACGAAGTTGTCCTGGTATAGCAACACGATACTTGTTGAGTGGGAAGTATGTGGTACAACGAGCGCATAATAAAAAAAGAAATCGGACATAGTCTCCATAGGTTGTATCGATTCGCTTTATATCCCATCGTTTTTCCCAAAACGTGTAAACGTTTTAACAGATCAACTACTCCGACCTCTAACAAGATCATTACATCAAATTTCATATGATTAGCGGGAAGTAGAATCTCATTCCATCGAGCAGTAATGCCTCTGACATTAAACGATAGAATGTGCAAAGAAAAAAAGGAGGAAGAGAGATCTGGTCTAACATACCTCTGCCATGTCGAAAAACAGAAAGAAAGTGTGAGACAACTTTCCCCTCCTCAAGAATTTCACAAAATAACAAAAAATCAAAATGAGACAAAGAGGTCTGAGCTTGTAACAAACAAAATTGTCGCTCAATCATCCTGGTTTTGGCGATGCATGAGAAAAAAGGGGGCGCACAAGGAGACAGAGTCACTGAAAATTTTTACCCTGAGTACAGTTGTTCAGTTGAGCACGCATACGGTCCATTTTTGCACGAAAATCCGCATCCATCACTCTACCACCATTGTCCCTGTTTAATGAGGCTGTAAATTTCATAACTTCATCCAATATCGGCAACACTAGTTTCATAAACATGTTTTCATGTCGAGTAGAGATTCTATGTTGCTGTTTGACATTGGTTTCGATTGTTGCTTTATTCATTTCGAGTGCTTGAATTCTTTCATCGAATTGTATGTCCGATTCAATCTTGTCAGCCATAAACTTCTCAAATTGTTCAGTTTTGCGTGCCAGTATTTCGATATTGTCATTCAGGTTATTCATACACTTATTAATGACATCTAATTTTAACAAAATCGAATTAGTGGTCGTATTGGGTATAGACGCAAATTGAGCCGAAGCGAGACGTGGAAAATCAGCTGGACAATCGGTTGAGTAAGACGATGTAGGAAAAATTGATAGTAGTTTCCTCGTCAAAGATGCACGAAATGATTTCACAACCGAGCATTTAGGGTCATTGGAATTGTGAGATGATCCACAATGAATACGCGTTTTCTGTAACAAGAGCAAACGTATTCCATCAAAACGTTTCTAACAGAGGACGTCGCTTGACTGGAGTATAGGAATCACTTTCTGTTAGCGATGAACTGAACTTTATTGAGGAAAGACTTCTGAAACGTAATATTGTAGAAAAACTAGTGTAAAACTACCGATTTCCTTGACAATCAGTCGCGCATGTGTAAAAATAGTATTTAAGATAAAACAAGGACACCTTTATCGTATAAAAACTTCATCATTGATTTATTTTAGTCTAGGATTTTTCCTTTCTACTGGTGAAATAAAATAAACCCAAAAGAAATGTCCATCTATGTTAATATTAACAGGATAGTTGTTTGTGGTTACGGTTCACTTAACAGATTACATCTAAAGTAATTAAAGATGTATCAAAACAACTTAAGAATGTGTGTAATAAAGATTTATTGAAATCCAAGCTTTAATTAAGGAGCGTATATGGTAAAAGCGTGATGATAGATTCACAACACTATTTTAACACTATTTATTGGTTGAATGTTATATTACAGCCATAATTACAAACAACTATCCTATTAATATTAACAGAGACGGACATTTCTTTTGCGTTTATTTTATCTCATCTGTAGAAAGGAAAAATCCAAGACCAAAATAAATCAATGATGAAGTTTTTATACGATAAAGGTGTCCTTGCTTTATCTTAAATGCTATTCTCACACATACGCGACGATTGTCATGTAGAACAGTAGTCTTATTTAGTAAAAACGATTTATCAAACAATGTTGAGGGTAAGTAAAACTATGATAATCCTGGACATAAACATTTACGGACGAATAGATTTCTGCTATTGGTTCCATTTATAGGCAAATGTTCGCCAAAAATATAAAGAAAATGAATTGTAAGTAGACTCAGAATTTACCAAGTTAGAATTTACCACTAGAAACTTTGACTATTATAGACTGCCCGAATTTGGCACAATACAATTTGCTAATAATGATAGAAAATCATTGGTAAGTACTGGTACTGAAGACAACTTATTCAAGTAAATTAACCCTATTTAGATCAAACAGTGTGGTCAAGTCTCGACTAGGTATGTTACAAACCCTAACCCAAGTCTGGACTTGGGTTTGGGATTGGGTACCCAAGTCTGAGACTTGGGTTTGGGTTTGGGTACCCAAATCTGAGACTTGGGTTATTAAAACACTCCTTTTAACTGAGATACCTTCTTTCGTTGTGGCTCTTTGAGAAAACAGAATGTAAGATGTTTATTTCGGCCTGTGGGCATACGTAATGCCTGATGCTAACGATAAGAGCTCATTTTGGATTAGTTCAAATATCCAACCGTTGAATGTTTTATTCTACTTATCTTGTTTATATCATCCTGATCCTTGAAATAGAGAAAAATAGTAAAAAAATAAGCACTGATAACATACCACAAATATGTTAACAAATGATCGGTGTACACTATAAAAAATGATGTAAAAGAATAGGGAAGACTAAAGAAAAAAAGTGAAGTTTTTAAAGCGAAAACAGCGACGATGAAGAGAAAAAGATAAATGAATAGTATGGCAGAAGAGCGTAAGGTACTGCTGCTAAGTTTCATTGAAGAAGAATATTAATGTACTTTGGCAACTGACCCAAACCCAAGTCTTAGACTTGGGTACCCAAACCCAAACCCAATACACCCAAGTCGCTTGGGTTTGTAACATACCTAGTCTCGACAGTCCGTTAAGTGTTACGTCCCTAGCTTTATTTACGTTATCTCCCCCTAAGCAAGCGTCTTGTCATGGCCACTGACGCCTCGACTATCGCTGTATACTCGTAGTCTCTAGCAAACGGCTCTTCTGTTGACTGTAGAAACATCTGTCAAAGTAAGATGCATCTTATCTCTAGCAAAGAATCCAGTTCTGTTTCACTAATGCCTATTAAATATACATTGACATAAAACCAACTGATCACTGTTAGAATCTGTTAGGTAGAGATTTTTGACTCATTGTAAGCACCATTCCATTTTAGTGCCATGTTTACATTTTCTTTCTTTTTATGTGAGAGGACTGAGAAAATTACCTTATCTGACGTGAGAATTTTCAAAGTCACTGGCTGTTTTAGTAATGCTGTTATCATTGTTATTATGCATTTCATATTCTGTTGTAGGGAAGAAAGTAAGGTAAAATGAGATAACATACAGTGGCCGCAAAAATTATTTGTGAGATCAGTGTTTTGCTCATAATTCTGTGACGAAGATGTTTCTACAATTGCGAAACTACCACGAGATTGCCCGTTGACTCTCCTGTCTATGGTAAAATGTTGCAACCACTAGGCCTTTTACATCTAGACTAATGGCTATAACAATAGAGAGATCTATATGTTTTTCGGCAAAACTTATTTCTACGATAAAAAGAAAATTCTTCTAACCTCATCAAAACGATTGGAAAAAGTCAGAATGCTATTTTTCGATAGTAGAGAAGGAATATTTTGGTAAAAGAATTTTTTCAAAAATCTTCTTCCTACTTACACATACGTCTAATAGAAAATAATCACTCATCATCATCATCATCATCATCAATCGACTGCAAACAAGGTTGGTTTACAGGCGGCTACAATTTTCTTCCATTCTCTGCGATCTTGTGCTGCTCTTCGTATTTCGTCGGCTGTAGATGGTACGTCGCTGTTGATGAGCTTACCTATGTACGTGGAATACAACATCCGCGGCTTGCCTCTGCCTCTTTTTCGGTGATTTTCTTGGGGTGTATAGAGAACGTACTTGTTGGCTAACTCGTTCTCATTCTTTCTAAGACAATGCCTGACGAATCTCAACTGTCTGCGCTAAATTTGTAGTATGATGGGATAGTGGACGCTGATGTGTCGATGTGTTGGTGCTTTGTTTTTGTTTTCGTTTTGTCACAGCATTGTCGAAGGCAGATGGGTGTACTATAATTTTTGTTGCTCGGAATGGGTTCCTCAATTGTAGTTTTCGGTGTCATTTGGAAACGCAATTCGGATGACTAGTCCTGAAAAGCTTTACCAGAGCCCATCTTAGCCGTCAAAGACGTTTCCATTCGGCACTACGACGACGTGAAGGGCTGGATTTTGGCGAACTATAATCACTACATGCTTCTTTTGTAAAAGAATTATAGTTCCTTTTGTGAAGAGACGAAGCCGATCTTTTTACTTCATTAGAACTGCTATTGTACCAGCTTTAAAAGTATGCATCCCCTTTTTCTCTGTTTTACTCTTCCATGAAAAATTCATTTGTTCTTAATGACTCGGAAAGCAAGATAAGTAGAGACATCAAGTTTTCATCATTCAATATCTTGCCTGTAGATCGTAAAATAGCCATTTATGCGTTACTTTTCGTCTTTTTGTTGTTTCTTTGCTTAGTATATGAAATATAAATTTTATGTGAATGATTATCGAGGATTATCTGATGATGCACCACCCCATACAAGAAAACCACCATCAAAAGAAGATTCAAAAACAATTCTTGATCATATGATATATACACTGAAATTGCCAACACCAGATTTAGTACTTTCTGTTATCGGTAGTGCAAAAGCATTCAAAATGCCACAACGGATAAAAAATGAATTTCAGCGTCGATTAATTTCAATTGCTCTTCGCACAGGTAGAATCTTTCTTATGTATGCGAGTGTACCCTCATTCTAGGATGGAGTAAGATGCTGGAAATTCAAAATATGAGAGATTTTGTTTTTCATTTATTTATTCGTGGTTGTATAGAAGACATCGAAATGAGTATAAAAAAGTGGTTCTTAATTTTTCCAACTATACTTTTAAGGGAGAAAGTTTTAAAATAGCTAAAAGCCCTATAATCGTCTAAAAAGGCTAAATTTTTGAAAATACGTTAAAACTTTGTTCTGACGTTCTTTTGAACGTTTCAACTCGTTTTTCAGATTCAGCATAAGAAACTCGGTACAGAAAACTATGTTTGCGCATTTCTGACCGTCGTATTTTCTTGAGCGGGAACACAGAGTTCGCAATACTCCCGGGGTTTCTGGAACCCTCCCTAGTTTTTTCAGTCAGAATATGAAGTAAAAAGTTTTATGCCCTCCGAACTACGATTTTAACCAGCAATAAAAATATGCACCGCTTTTCTCTGGTTTTGTTTTTTCACTGAGAAAATTCATTTTCGTGAAATCAGAAGCAAAAAAGTCGGAATTCTGCCCGTAATTCTCTATTTTCTCCATCAGACCTCACCTTTTATCCAACAAAAATATCATATTCGAAATCAGCATCAAAAACTTAGTCGAGTGAAATATATTATAATGTGTAATACATATAATGTTGTTTCATTCTTGGCGGCATTCTCAACGAATACAGAAAACGACGTTACCGCAAAGAATTGGTTATTGGAAAAGAAGAATACATGGGGTCCATTTCGTATTTTGTACATCATGTTTTCAAACTTAACTGAAGTTATGTGGTGACTAGTCATTATCTGATACAGTCACCAATATCCAGTTTTGTATCATGAAAATATGTTTTCTATGAAACTACTTTTCGAACTCTCTCTCACAATGCCCTCCCCCCTCACCTCCCACGACATGATATACAAAATACAAACCCAGGCTTATTTATTCTTCTTTTCCAATAAATGAGTCTTCGCGGTAATGTCGTTCGCGGTAATGTCGTGTCACGGTCTCAACTTTGTTTGTCCAATATAGATTTTAAGCATACATCGTTCAACTAAGCTTTTGATGCTGATTTCGAATATGATATTTTTGTTGGATAAAAGGTGATTTCTAAGGTTAAAAGGTGAGAAAAAAACGTTATCCAAGCTACCAGAAAGAATAGTAAATAGGAAGTACATTTTCTTAACATAAAGGGTTTGTCCATTTGGGCGACATAGATCAAATGATAATCAATCAGAAACATTAACTCTTTTGATTAGATTGCGACATTAAACTGAAACCATTGTTCGTTTGAATGAAATAGTAGGATGATATGTCTTCTGCCGATACGGGGATTCCTGTAAGTCAATAAACGAGAAAACACTCGTTTCTTAAAAAAAGCTGACCGATTTTTTTCTACAAATACACCTGAAGAAAATGCACAATCCTGAAAAAAGTTAACCTCATTGCTTCTCCGAAAGTGCAGACAGAGTATTAAAGACGTTGCCTTTCTCCAGACACAAGATTGGATGTACATTTGCAGGAAACTATTTTTGGGAATCAGTAATTTGTTTACAACACTTCTCACCTATGGGATCAGTAATTTCTCTAGCTTTTATCTAGTCTAATAAAAACAGTCGATTTAATCAACAATGGATTAGCATTCCATCTTGTTAAATATTTACACAATAAGCATAATCATGCTTGCCGAGTTTGCAGCGTGTAAAAAGTGGAAGGAGGTGCACGGAAACACTCTTACACTTCTCATATGCTCCAGGCATTTTTCTGGACAAAATATTGCGAACTTTGATTATTCTCAGAATTTGCTTCGCACGATGGGTCTGACGTCTAAATCAGGTTTATATCCAGGCATTCTGTCCGTGCTGCACAGTATCAAATAAGAAGTGCTGACTTTTTTAAATAGTGACAAGTAAATTTTGTAAGAACATAAAACGTCGTCTAACAATACCGAATGCGCAGGGCTTCACCACATTCGCTCATTAGAATGAATTGTAAAAACTGTTTTTATAAAGTTTCAAGTAGATGTTTACTGAAGAGCATAAACATCTGCTTTCAAACATACAGATAAGAGATTATCGATAAAATCTCCTCTTCAAAGCGAGTAAAACTGAACTGTGATTTTATTTTATTGAAAAAAATATAGATGCATGGATTATTACTAGTGGAACAAATAGTGGTGTAATGAAAGAAGTTGGTGATGCTGTAGATAATTATCGATACGAAATTACAAAAAGACTAAAAAGCATTGCATGTATTGGTATTACAAGTTGGTATTTCATAACAGGTATGTCAGTATACTCTTTCATTTTATTTCACTGCCGTTCAGTTACACTAAAAGTATTTCTTGGTTTTCAGATTACGAACAATTACAAAGCGAATGGGAAAGAGCCCCGGTAACACACATAAAACTGTATGGAGGCTTTCTTCAAACTACATATATCTATTTTTTATTAAGACAAGACTGAATCATATTGTTTCGCCGATCGGCGAAGTATATCAAAATAATCCTCAATTGTATCGAGTTCGACACCCAACAGACAAAAACGAAAAAAGCAAAAGTTGTCCACTTGATCCGAATCATACACATTTCATATTGTTAGAAGATGTATATGGACCAGATGATAATATATGGAGAAAAAGCTTTTTTGGTGATAGGAACCCTGATTTAACAGTTACCCGTAATGATCTTACTTTAAAATTTCGCGATAAAATAGAAAAACAAGCAATAACACCAACAGATCCAAGTAATTACCGGAAATTGTTCAGTTCGAAATTTACATAGAGTCACATGGGGTAATTCTAACAATCGCCTAAAACTTTTCAGATATTTTGAGCATATTTAAGTCATCTTTCACCGGAGAAATCAGTATTATGCAGGTAGATAGAGCTGACTCTTAGTTATCTACTATAGGGGTGTTAATTTAGTGTTATTTTAGAAAATAAATATAAATGAATCATTTATACTTAAATAATAAAGATAAATTCGTCATTTATATTTAACAAATAAATATAAATAAATGAAAAAAACATTTATCTTTATTTTATAAAAGTAAATGATTCATTTATATTTATTTCTTTATTTCTAACTTTACTTTTAAAAATAAAGGTAGAAATAAATAAATAAATATAAATGGATCATTTACTTTTATAAAATAAAGATAAATTTTTTTTCATTTATATACGTTTGTTTTTTAAATATAAATGAAATGTTTATATTTATTTTCTAAATATATATAATTCATTTATATTTATCCGTTATTATAAATGAACAATAAAAGGAAATTAACACCCGTAATCTACTAAAATAAAAATTTTCTTAAAATTCGTTAACATTAATTATTGTCCATCCAAAAAAAGAATGGTATATGACTGTGTTTTGAATAACTTTTGATAGGAAAAAGCTAAAGAGCTCTAATTTTCACCATTCGAAAGAGGAGACTTGGGAACATGTTTTCATAACGAAAATTGTTCCCAGAAGAGCTTTCTGAAACACGTTTTCTAGGGGATCCTTGGAAAACTAGCTCGTGTGTAAAAAGTTTCCAATAGGATTGTATTGATTTGTTTTCACAGACTGATAGCCCAGGGCGTCCTTTTCAAATTGAGAGTCAAGTGAGACCTTGATTTTCCGTGCTTCGGGCGTTGTATCGGATTTCCTACGAATCCAGGACTAACACCTAGTGACGATTGGTAGCCTTCAAGACGGATGAACTATGCGTAACCGACCACGCTGCGTCTCGAGGCAATATTTGTTTCTAGAAAAGTTTTAAAACTCTACCAAAAAGCGAGTTTTACGAAAATTTGCATTTTCAGGCTGTTTTCACCTAATATTAAAAAATTCGCTAATCACTCAGTAAAAATCAGAACGACTTCAAAATTTCAGAATGTGGAGTATTTAAGCTATTCTTTATCCTGTTCATAAGAAATCTCAAAAGAAATTTCAAAAAACCCTAAGGTTTTACAAAAGGTTTTTTGGATAACCGAACTCCAAAACTATGCTTTTTCTAATTTTTCTATTGTACGATCACGTTTAGCGGAGGAAATTAAGCACATTCTGAAATTTTGAAGTCGTTCTGATTTTTACTGAGTGATTAGCGAATTTTTTTAATATTAGGTGAAAACAGCCTG